AAGAAACAGATGCAGCACCTGGCATACCAAATGCCGCAGATAGCATGGCGATGGCTGAGCTCTTCAACCGCCTAAGGATTGAACAGGTCTTTCTCTAGACCAGTTTGCACAAAGCGACAGGTTGAAACAGGGGTGCTTGGGCGGAATGGAAGTGTGAGTAGTCTAAGTATGTCTCAGAGTATTCCCGGATGAGCCCAGTCCCTCTTAAATGCTCCCGCCTCATCTGTGTCCAGCAGAAGCTTCAAGAGCCTCAAGCTGCTCAAACTGACGACCCTGCCTGACTGATGGAGACATGAACCCTCCAGCCTTTGGTTAACTCCCCCCCACACACATAGAGGTGGTGGAAGGTCCCATATATGACATATATCAAGTATATACTGACTGACATATATATATATATTTATTATTATATACTGTATATACACATCGAGTATACAACGTCGCAATGATATGTTTGAGGTTTGAGATGGAATCACGGGTGGGGTGGGTATCCGGATAACCTTCTCTGTATACTGCACTGTTTGGCTCAACTGTCTTTTGTCTTCATCAGCAAGGGCTATCAGGCCAAATACCAAGCCCAAGCCAAGCTTGCTTTGCAAATCAAGACATGTCAGCTTACTCAAGGGGTCGATCAATCAATCATGTTACAAAGTTCCGACCTACGTGAACATAGAGCCCCCTCACCTATGGCGCAATCTTTGCGCCATGGGCGTCGTCTTCATGCACCCTGCAATCGTCCTTGCCCACACATGAAGACTGATCCTCGTGCCCTCGCCCCGGTTCCGTGTGCGGTCTGATCTTTGCAGGTACTGAGTGCACGACAGGGTGTCGATCGCACGTTGCAAGGCTGGCTGGGTGGCCCCCTGGCACGGTTCATGGGAAACGGCGGCGCACGGAGAACCAACTCCATCGGGTCGCCTCCACAGAAGATGCCGAGCCCAAAGAACATGACAAATGCATGCAGCGGGGTGGTTTCGCACCAAGTTGCAGTCTGCAGTTGATTTTAAGATGTTTTGGTTGAAAGAAACACAGATTGAACATGATTGAAATTTGTCTTAGGTGCGTGATAAAAGGCCAGGAAGTAGCTTGCAAACAGAATAAGTCTTTAACCAGGCGAGTCTTGCCCACTTCCATGTCCTTTGTCGCTTGCAGCGGAGGTTGTCGTGTGCTTCCTTCGGAATTTTCAACAGCCTTGCCTTGGAACAACTTGGGACTCTGAGACATGCTGAGACATCGACTCTACTTGACTCCCAAAACACCAAGGCAATTGGGCTGGAAGTCACTGGAAGTCACTGGCAATTTGTGAAGCAACGCCTCGGAATCTGCCCTGTCACCACGCCTTCTGCTCCATGCGTTCCTGGCGAAAGGCACACGTCGGGATGCGAATCCCAGCGATGTCCCCTGCCGGTGCCGGGAACCAGTCTCGGGAGGTGTGACCGTCGAATACAGGACACAGGAAACAATATGGAGTATACAACGGACATGTAATGATGACATGTGTATCATAATGTATCATATAATATATCAATATAATATATATATATATGTACAGCATATATTATGAACACGCACACCTTCCTTTGCCAGGTCCTTTCCGTTCTTGCTGTACAAAGAAAGCTCACAAACTCGTGGTGAATGATGACTTAGTGAATGAGACTGGATCATATTCTGGTTGACAAAGACAGTGGAGGATGACCAGGTACCTCACAGTAGCCGGCTGAAATTCCAGCTTTGCATGACTCGTCCTGAATCAGCATGTGCTGCGCCCGACCGTCGCTTCGTTGATCCGCGTGGACCGACCTGTGAGCCCATGGGCCTCGCTGAGTAAGGCCTCACGCTGCTTCAACAAGAAGCTGGCCGCTGCCTCAGTCGTGAGGATGTGCGGTCTTCAACAAAGGAAGACGTCTACGCGCCATGGGCGCCGGCGCGATGGGCGGCCGGTGTGCAGCAAGTAGACCTGTCAGACTAGATCTTAGGTCTTATGAACAGGTGCGGTGTCACTGTCGTCTTGTTGATCAACTTTGAGTTCTCTTCATGGTGCCCTGTCGTACCCAGGCCGCAAGTTGGCACTGGTAGCTCAAGAATCCACTCCACAAAATATGGCAACAAAACAAATTAGAGGATGTTATGTGTGTCCATCTGCATAACTATGGTGTTTTTTTTGTGGTTCTTGGAGCTTACATATTACACTGCAAAGGATCCTACGCACAAGCCCTCGCGTAGCCGTAGCCTACGGCGTGCAACAGTTTACCTACTTGGGAGTTTTCTCCAAGTGGAGTGCACGCGGGGATGCCTGCCCGAGCAATTGGCAAACAGCAAAGACTTTTTGACGCAACCCTACGCAGGCAACTTATGGAAGTGCCTCCGCCTACAGCCTACGCAAACCTACCCCGACACACCAGTGTCAGGTAAACAGCCCAATAACACAGCACTTAATAAGGACTTCCCTCTTCATCTTCTTTCCATCGTCTCAACAAACATCGCTCCTCATCCGAACGGGCCGCCTTCCTTTTGGACTGGCTTTCCAGTGGATTTGCGCTAACGAATTGGTAGAAACGAGACGATTTGGGCGTGAGACAGATCGGGACGCGGCACATGATTGTAGCTAGCTGTCGATCCATGAATATATGAATAAACACCCCATCACACACTGTGCTTTGTAGAGACCCAGTTCACCTCCAAAGCCACCCCGAAATGCACTGAACCACCCAAGCATTCCAATGCCATCCTCAAAAGGTACACTGAAAGGTCCACAACATTTCGGGTGACCTCCCCAGAAATCAAAAACATCTTTACATCAAAATCAATTTAGATCAATTGAATGAATATAATGTAATATAGCACCACCATACACCTTTAAGATAGATGCTTTGAACGCACTTGAAAAACGATAAGAAACATGAAAGAGCTGTGCATGATTTTCCTTGTGGCTTGCATGATCTTGACGTACACCGCAATCACAACCCCTTGCAACATACAAACTACTGGTCTACTATAAACTATTACAATCTATTACATGTTATTACAATACCAACTACTTGATGTTCTGTCATGTTCTGTCCCTCTGTTTTTGATGTCCAACTATCGCTCAGTGTCTTTCCATTTGCCGCATCAGCCCAATGGCTGGTGGCCGATCACAGCGCATCACTGCCCGTCGTGGCTGGGGGCCCCAAGACGGCGGGGGGTGCTCGTGCAGTCCGCCACCATGGGTGGCAAAGACTGCCATGGACGAAGTCAATTCGCAAAGAGGCCTTGTCGGTGGTCCTGAAATCTGCGAAATCGCGCGGAAAAATGAGGCGCTGGTCGAAATCCGTTGATTTGTACAGGACATATGATAAACCCATTGGATCCATACCCAGTTCGGCGATCACCCCAGCCTTCGACCGACTGCACCGCTTCGGGTGCCGAACTGTTCGGCGCCTACGCTGCACGAACGGACGCGCGACTGCCAGCGCGACTCGGGTTGGGCGGTTGTTTGGTCATCGGGTCCGTGATCCAATAGCCACAATGGCAATGAGTACAGCAGTGGTTTCGGATGTAATCTCGACTTATGGCCTTCTAGGCAAAGCAAAGCCAAACAAGCTCCATGTGGGCTTGTAATTGATACATGAGACCAACCGTGTGCGCTTCTGGTACAGTAGGGGGCCTTTTGGGGGTTGCTTGTGTAAGACTGGCAGAGAAACCTTGGTCGACAGGAACCCACTACATCCTTGATGTGGAGAAGGCGAAACAATGCAAGTTAGATCATATAAGACACTGATTTACAAGGCTTGACATTACAAGGTAGATCAAGGTAGGTAGTGTGCGCCTGGCATCCCTGAAGCATCAAACAAGTCCTTCGGGGTTCTCCCTGTCAATGTTGAACACTCCCTGTTCGATCTTGGACACTGCGGGGCTTTTTGAGGCGTTCTGCACATCCAAATGTCCAAAGTCTTCAGAATCCGTTGGTTCCAAAACCACCAAACGCAATGGTTCCAAAACCAATCTGTCGTCCAAGCGGGGTTGTACCTGGCAGGACCCCATCTGTCGATGGCACAACCCGTCTTGACAGGGTGAAGAAGCACCTTATCATAGCCAAGCCAGGTAGTGCTCTTCTCTGCATCATTATTTGAAGTGACATACACATGCCCTATTGGGCGCTCATAGGGTCCAGGGACATCATCAATTTTGCATGGACAGTATCTGTCTGGCTGGATTGACCTGGAGTCATGGATGCTGGACCCTACAAGTGATGCATGTGTGCATAGTTGGACATGTAACGCAACAAGGATGACTATTGGACTCCTAAAATGTCTCGATGCCGGCTCTCTTCTCGACATCATGTTCGCACATGCACGCATACACCGTTCCTTTCAAAACGTCCGCTGCTGCAAGCGCTTTGGTCACAACATTTAAGCGTTTCTTCTTCGCATTTCAGCCTCCTTAAAAGGCAAAGAGTGTGGTGCAGACGCATCGAGTCCACATCATCATTTACCACGACTGGGGATCCAAGCTTTCAATCTCAGTCTCCTGGACTCTTCTTCGCTCGAAGCTTTGTGACATGAGCTCTGTGGTTTTTCTTCTTCGCCATCAAAGAGATAAAACAATGAAAACAAAAGACAACGACTCTTCTTCACTTCACTTCGCCTCGATCCAACGGGGTGTTCTCACGTGCAGCTGTCGCAGCTGTGCTGTCGCTGGTGCGAACGAATCAGCTGTCGTCGGTGAACCCATCGATGTGAGAGTGGGGCGAGTCGTTGGGTTCCGAACCCAGCTACGTTGAAGTAGCTCCTGGCAGTAGAAGCTATAGGAACAAGAAGCTATAGTAACAATGGCATCGCTACTGCGGTAACACGATCGCCGAAGGGAACGAAGGAACAACACATAAAGAAAAAAACCAACTTTTACGGACGAAACAGGGGAGGTGTCCATCTGGGGAAATTCACACTTCGACTCGCACTGTGAGGCCTATGTTTTTCTAGTGGAACAAAAAGAACTAGGCACACCTTCAATCTGTTTTGCTCTGTTTCACACGATGTTCAAGCCTGGATCCCTCGCGGCATCAACGACGGAGGTGGTTAATATTGCCTGGTCCACAGGAGCACCTCCAGTTGAAGCTGGATCACATGGGGCCTCCCCCTGGCGGACGTCAGGTAGGTCTCCACATTTGGCATGACAGACCTTCTAGACTCCTAGACCCCTCTTTTGGGGAGTGTTGATTCAGTGATCACAGTAGGATGTTCCCTGGTCAAGTGCCTTTCTATCTACCCCCGGCAGCTCTCATGCAGGATCTGGGAATCTGGGAATGTAGATGAATGTCGTGTAAAAAGATTTCTCTCTTTTGCTGCACACAGCCACCAACACTTGGTGAATGTCCTATCTAATGAGTCTCACTGAAAGGGCAAGTTTCTGCCACCCAGGCAAGCCAGCAAGAGCAAAAGCTTTATGAAGTTCCATTATGGGAGTTTGAGAAAAGAGGGAAAGGATTGGAGACATCAAAATTGAGGGGTGCGAAGAAAGGAACATAAGGACACAAATGGACCATGACCATACTAATTTGGGGTGGGTTTCTAGGTACCCCGATAAAAACATAGACGAGATGCGTCTTGGAAGGCGCTTCTTGTAAAGGGGAGAGCCGGAGGAAACTGGTAGGGGTGGGTCGGGTGCACTAATCCTGACAATTGTTTTGCATTTACTGTATTTCTTTTACTGACACCTTTCTTTATTTATATAATTGATTTGTCTAGTCTTTTCATTTCTTTTCTATTCCGTTCTATGTTTCTCCCTACTTTTTGACTTCTTGTTCACATCTTTCATTGTTGTGTTGTTCACAAGCTGGTCCTATTCTTGAGAGGCTTCTCTTTTTAACAAGTACATATTATGTGGTTCTTACTGAGAAGGAGCCAAACCTTTGCAATAATAATATGTCATCATGTACTGCTCTTGAATTTCAGTTAGCTTTTGCTTAAACAGTTAAACAGTGGCCCTTCCCTTCTTGGATAGATTGTTGATTGTAGACGACACATTTGCAAAGCATAGGTTTCTTAGACAAGGACTTCCAAAAATGCGAGCCTTACAAAGGAACAACCCTTCATATACACAGATTGAGATCTTCCTTAATGGAGGACACCGTGCTCATATGTAAATACATATATAGTTATATATTATATATATACATACATGTCATATATTGTTATATTATGGACTCTTTACGTTCTAAGTCTTATCAAGGATGAGTATGCTGAAGAATATATTATATATATACACATGCCTTGTAAAGTAGAGGAGGTTCTGAGTAAGGTGCGATGCATGTTTACAGTCTGAGTTTTATCGAATGTGATAATTTTATTATAGTCTGATAGAGGAGGGTCTTGGAGAAGGTGGGATGAATTTCTATGGTCAGCGTCTTATCAAAGATGAGAATTGTACAAACATGCACAAAAGACAAGAGATAAGTGTTCAACGGTCCTAACTTTTCTGTTCCCTAGGGCTCCAACCACCTCCGTTTCGCTTCGGTGTGTAGGGTAATTAGGTTCTGACTGCAAAGATGTAGCTGAAGCATTATGCCCCAAACACTCCAAACACTCTAGATATATGATATGCCTACATAGACACCGACCCCTCCTCAATAATCTTCAACCACCCCCCAATGTCGGTGCCCCTATGCCAGTCACCAGTCCGAGTGCCGGTGCCCCACAGTAACCTTAGGTGCCCCGGTCGCTGACCGCGTCGGTTCCCCGCGCTTTTCCCCCGAACCTCGCATCATGGCCATGAACTCCTCGAAGTCGATCATGCCGTCGCCATTGCCTCGTTTCAACGACCCTCGATCATGGGAGTATTTCTATTGCCTGTGGGTCATGGAGATCAAGGGGACCTTGCGCAAGACCGAAAATGAACAGAATAGACTGTGACTAGAATAGATCAAGCGACCAGGCTGAAACAGGCTCCAGGTTTTGTTTGACTCACAGCCATCGATGGGTGTGTAATGGTGTGCATCTCAAGAGGAAGACGCCCTGGTCCTGGCTGGGTGCTCCACTTCCTAAACCGAAACCAGGGGTCGGAACGCCTGGGAGGTCTCCCTAGTTTAATACACACGCATGGACTGTGCACTGTGTAAGAGTTGTTTCGTTGGTACATGGGTGAACCTCCTACTGGTGTCGTCTGATGTTGGGCATCAACTCCCAGTTCCAACCCATGAAACATGTCACACAGATTCACACAGTTCTTAGTCTCCAAGTGGTCGTCATCGTTTCCCTCGTTATCAGGACAACCTCTCAATGGCCGGCACTGAGGTCTCTAGTCGAACTTCTCGATAAACCCATCAACAAGACGCGAGCCCCACGTCATGCATCGGACCACGAAACAACCGGAAATCACATGTGCCCTGGGACCACGGTGCCATCAAGCAATCAATGCACAAACATGCCGCAGTGGTCTTACACCATACGGTGCATATTTGCACCGCTGAACATATACTGACTGGTATACCAAACATTGTGATTTACAATTGATCTTCAGGCTTCTTTTAGCAGCCTGATGTGATACACTAAGAGCTTGGCTCATGGCATATTAGAAACTTAAACTCTGCTCAAATGGGATTCATAAATCCAGCACTTTGAAAAAGAAACACTAACTGAAGGTTCAAGTCTACATTCCTGGTTTCTGAAGATATCATGCAAAGAAAAGATCCACACATGAAGGGCAAGAGTTGTTGAGCTCAAAACCACTTGTCACTTGTCTAACAATTGGTAAATGCACCCGCAAAGGCCAGGCCATGATACTCAGTGGTGACAAACCAACCCATATCAAACCTTTATTTAAGACTGCATGATTTTGCCATCTATCCTTCGCAAATGAGTCCTTTTACATTCCTTTTATTTATTCCTTTGTCCTTTGGAACAAGCTTCAAACCTCTGCGGTGAAAGACTCCGGGGTGAGTAATCCAACACGTTGACATTCCAAATTCCAAATTGGAAGTCCAAGAGAGGTTGTGAATAGGTTCTACAAACCCAAATGGGGGGACTCTATAAAGTCAAGTCTCCACACCTAAGACTTTGAAAAGAGGTCCATGGAATGTGGGTGACGGATCTTGACTCTATGAATCCATGTAATTTCACTATTACTCATACATTGTTCGGGCAAAAAGAACATGTAACATGTTTTGTGATGTGTCGGTATAAAATAACACCAGACTCCCAGGACTTATCTCCTTGGTATTGCCCAGTTTCTTTGTCAAAAAAACATGCGGAACCATGGAAGAAACCATCTGTTAAACGTCAAGGTGCTATCAACTTCGACCATCAAGTCCGCGATGGCTTTCCTCAGAGAAAACAAATGAACTTGCTGAACTGCTGGTGCAGTCCAGGAGGAATCTCATTCTGCGATCTTGAACTTCCCCGTATGTGTCAATCAAAACATGAATATGCAATTCAATGTCTCTATTGGACACATCGCAACATCAACTCCAACTCAAACAAACACGTTGTCCCATGTAGACACATATACAAAACAAAATCCATCCTCTTCTATGGAATTGCCTATGCACAGCACGTTCACTTCTCATTGGCAGGCTCCATCTTGCCCCGAGACTTGGTCAAACAAATGGTGACAAACACGGATCGACTCCAAACGAACGGTTCATCCCCTCTCCAAACTCATCCAAAAACCACTTTCCAGTGGATGGCATGGCCATGCATAGCCCCTTGGCCCCCTTGGATAACCATGTTCCGAATACCAAACAGGTGGTGCCGTCCACTCCTGGAAGTGTGTCCATGATTCCTGGTTTTCTTCTCTTTCAGGGAGTGTATCTATGGTGGATCGGGGATGCAACGGTCCCAAGTTCATCCAGGTGTTTGAGCCAATCGTGAACAGCACTGTTGGGGTCTCGCAGGCGGAATGTACTGTACTTATATATTGGGTCCATCCTACTACCAGTAACAGTGGATGATGCTTAGTAAAGGCCTTGTCAAAAATAGTTATAATTGTTTACTGATTGTGGCAGGTACTAGGACGGACCAAAATTATTAATATATGGTTTGGGGACGAACACCTCTAACTATGTTTGCACATCAAGGCAGCCAATGGGCATAAAGCTACCTAGTCTGTGGGTGTTCTTCCTCATCTTTTGGGAGCCGTCTGGCTTCTTGCGTTGGAGAAACACAAGTTCTCAGGCTTCAGGGACAGGCTTCAGTCCAAGTGCATCTTCCACCTCGCTGCTCTGCAGCACCTGGGTCCGATGACGAACGCTGGATGGTCCAAGGAAAGCGGCTGGAACAACCAAAAGAAAGGACGAGAACGCCGCTCGCCGCTGTGGTATCGAACCTTCGGGTGCTGCTGGGTGAATTCACATGATTCACAGGTTACCAAGTAGGACGATGTACCTGGACAGCTTGTGGGAGTAGGTCTTAAGTCTTTAGCCATTCTGTTCCAAAAGGGTGTTTGGGATCAAAACATCCAGCTCAATGGAGCTGGAACTGTAGGTCCATGCAAGCTGCAGGTCTGTGGTTAAAACTGGACCATCCAAATTGGTCTTCACAAGGAGTGAGAACATTGAGAACGCATCGACGCTACAATTGAGAACACTGATGTAGATAATATAACTATAACCATCCCTACTTATAACTTAACCTATCACACTGAAGCCACTTTCAATGGTCCAAGCAAATCAATGTGAAAAATACCCAAAACCCCCACACCCAAGTTTCGGTCACATCATGTCACATCAGTTGACGCATGTCGAACCAGCTATTGGATGCGAGGACCAGTGGTCCAGTGGCTCGACGGTGCACCACACCGAGCGGACAGGCCTTCTCGAGCGGACCGTGTCTCACCTCTTCGTGAGACCGGCCTCCAATACTTGAAAGGCCGCCCAATCTTCACCCCGGGGAGAAAAAAAGGCACATGAAAAACGTGACCCCCAACCCCAGCCGCCCCAGCCTGCTTGAGTTCCTGTGTGGAGATGTGTCCATCTCCATTTCGGTCGAAAACTCCTTAGACCGCTTGATTCGCGGAGTTAGGTCGACTCTCGTTAGACACAGACCGGGTCGACCAAACTCAGAACAGCTCAATGCTTCAGGCAAGCTACAAATAGCAAGGTGCATCGCTGCTAGTAACAAGGAAGATGAAGGAATGGGTGTTGAACACCGATTCTTGCACGAGGGGTGCAATTGAAGCACGCATTGAAGAATATTCTATTTTTACGCAAGGGGCAAAGGAGTAATAAACAAATGTTCATGCATCTCTATGTGTGGAATAAACAATCAGAACACAAACACACAGGCGTTTTTCTGTGGGTCCCGTTCTGAACATCGTTCGACTCCCATAACCCATCTGCAGGGCTCTGAAGGCTGCCCAGCAGACATCTTCTTTCATGTACTGCTGCCTCAAGCGGAGAGACGGAACTGTACCGGGGGGGAGACCAGGGAGATCAGGGACTGTACCGCTGGAGTCAACATGACTCAAATATCATCAAATATCCTGACTCAAACCTTCAGAATGTAAAACCAAATGAGCGTAGGAAGTCAACATGTCGTGGAGGCGTTTATCTACTTGGGTCAAGTGTATATTAATGTATATTGCCTTGGCTCACAACCGATAATGCAACATCAACACCCGAAACAAATTGACCAATATGTTCTGGCTCAATCCTTGCATCCGCTTCACAAGAACAGTAGTTGAACATTAGGAATGTATCAGCTAAATCCTGATGTTAGTTGCAATATCTGGTTAGGTCCACAAAATAAATGACCCCGAACTTGATGTCATTCCAGATCTTCTCCCTTTGTTTAGAGATCTACGACTGGAATTGTTTTTTCCCCTTGGCCTAAATCACTACGCAAAACTAATACACAGTCCATCCATGTCACTGATGACTCTCCCAAACATGCACCAAATGAAGAGGTCCCATGTGCAGCCCCTTTCACCATGAAGAATCAGCCACCTCGTGTCCGGCCGGAAGAGATTTCCACTCCCAAAGATGGAGCGTGCTTTTTGCAACAGTAGGGTCAGTAGATGAGTAGGATCATCCCTGTGACCTATTGTACAGCCACACATGATTCTATACCTGCATCTATTGCTGTTGTTAAGCAACGTTAATCATCTTTTGCAACACAAAAAACAATCCTATACCAGCACCCGAACACTTGTTTTTCAGTCACCATTTCGATGAAAGGTCGAAACAACACACAAGTCATCCGTTCGGTCGCTGGTGTTGACTCCGACGGCGAACGTCACGCCGTCCGCGTCGCCTGTCGAGCGTGGCGGCCAGGAACTCGGTGTAGTCGATGACGCCGCTGCCGTCGGCGTCCACACCTGGTTCCGCGCTTGCGCTGGTGGATGGCAGGGCGGAGAAGGCAACAAACACCACCCAGAATGAGCATAATATGTTTCGCAGGTGATAAAACATATAGTAATGTAATAGTTTTATAATGTTGTTTTCCTCACGTGAGCAAAAAGACAGAACATTCCAGGTACTTCTCGAGTGAGAAAACAAACCATGAACATTGCTCATTCCAACAAAAACCAACCAGAATGCGTTCAGGAATGGAAGGGTAGAAAAAACACACTCAGGACCTGATCAATTTGGAGAGGGAATGTTCTGAGGAGTCTACAACTGTCTCAACTGGCAGTACTCTCAGCCCCAAATCCCACAAGACCGATTTTTGGCACATCCCCAAAATGCAAAACACATTAGAGCACGTGATGCACTTGGGATTTGAGCACCAAGCATTCACTTACAGTGTATGAAAGGAGTCCATTAATTCTGGGCAGCTTCCAGGTTTTTCTGCCAAAGATCTCTTTGGGAAATCTGCCATTGTTTGCCACTCCAGGACTCCAGGAGAGTCCATGGAAACCATAGTCAAGAAATATCAAGAAATGATTGCCCCACTCCAGGATTTACAGTAGCAGGTTGTGTTGGAATGGAGAACAACCACTTTAGGCGGTTTATTGGCTTATCCAGGGGAGTCTGACTTCAGTAATTGCATGGGATAACAGAGCTAAGCAATGTCAACCAAGCGTTCTTTTGTTTGGATCCATCCATCACAATATAAGAATCGCAGGAACACTGAGGATGTTGGTGAAACATCGTCAAACTCCATGAAACTCGACGAAACGTCGGCGGTGGCACTCTTTTCAACATCGGTGGCAACCGTGCTTGCGGTGAGGTGTGATGTCTCCCTGTGACAACATGAGTCAACATGGTCAAAAACTGTACAAAAGTCCCCAAACACTGCAGGATTGACCTTCAGCTTTCCCTTTTGATCCGGTCAGGTGTCAAGCAGACCCCTCAAAGTGGCAACACAACAGTTCTCCTGTCTTCTCCCCCCAAAGCGGCTGTATGTTTTGTATCTTGTATTGCTCTATGCGAATATGTGACAATATTCGATATGCCAAAAGTCCCGCCAATTGGCACGGTTCATCCAAACGGACTCTAGTTCGCGTCCCCATCCATGATGGTGCTCTCGTGGAGTCACGCGTGGCTTGGACCCGCGCGCCGGTCCGAGCCAGGTCCCGCAGGCCATCCGACGCAAACGGCTGCTGCGCTGACTCTCGGTCAAGGCACCGTCCATGATCGCCGCGAGGTCTGGAGGGATCTCCTTGAGCCCTGCCTTCCCAAGGCCGTCCTTGAGCTCTGAATGCCTGAAAGCGACGAACGAGGCACCGGAACCAGGCACCGTTCGGGTTCCAAGGAGGTTGGGGGTTTGAGTTTGGTTGTATTTGAAGATGGAGGTTGGGTTGCCCCGGAAAATGTCATTGATTTGCTCGAACTTGGAACCAACTTGGAACTCCTGAAAGAATCAACATCTGAGGTTCCCCATGGGAAGCCATGGGCGTTGGACTTCCTGAAGCGGATTGGATTCTGTGCAAGCTATGGTATATAATATTCCCCCTCACTTGAAAGATAATAGTCAGTGTGTTCAATCATTCCAAGTAAAGGTTGAACATTACCTATAAATCGTATAAATATATTATACAGTATACGGTATACTATACATGGATACAGTCAGCTCCCAAGTTGCTCCCTCCCCACCTACTGTATTTCCATGTACTTCCCAAACAAACACCACCTACCACAGGACTCCCATCTTCCCACGAACGAAGCTCCTAATCCCACGGAGAATGTTCTCAGCATTCTGATGTGCTCCTATCTGATATGCTATTCAGCAACAACCCAACAGACAGTAGGTCTTTCATGGTCTTTCCGGTCTTTAATCGCCATGGCCACGCCAAGGGACGTGAGAAGGCCATCGCCATTCTTGTCGAGGCTAGTGAAGGCTTCTCGGAGCTTCTTGATCTCATCCTGGTGCGGCTGATGCTGTGCAAGCGCGGAGGCGATGTGGCAGGCTGACACAGCGAGCCGGTGATATTGTCGCAACCAAGAATCACTAACAACTTAGACCAACGAGTAAGCAACAAAACACTCGACATTATACTATATGGTGATGTTGTTTGAGTTTCACAATCTTGTCATTCTGTCTGTAAAGCACTTTTGGATGTATAGTGACTCTATGACAACAAAAATATATAAATGGCAGTTGTCCAACCAGTTCGATAGCGTGCTCGGAATCTAAAGGCCAGCGTCGCTGGTGTGATTGGTCTTGCTTTAAACTGGAGGCCATAGACGTGGCATGTGGTATACAGTATACATTAATGATTCGTGATTCCCCTCTTGGTAAATTCCTTCAATGGCAAACATTAAATACAACTTGTATATCAATTTGGTGACCGTGGAATTCAGTCTCAATGCCGACCTGGCATTTTCCACAATGTTTCACATCGAATGTCTCACTACGCACATACAAGCATGTTATCGCTCAGACTTATATGATTGTAATCTATACTGTGTATATATATATTATCTGTTCCTCGTAGTGTCTATCAAGTCAAGTGTTTCTATATATGTTGATGATTTGTTCTGTGTTTTGCCACAGTTGGTGCCTCAAAATCTCGAAATCGGGTTTCAAGTTCAAACGTTGGAATTTAAAACACGCATGGCACGGAAAAGGTCGCATGGCATGGCTTCAAATGATTTGGCTCAGGTCTGTTGAGCCTGTCTCTCCGTTGTCTCCGCTGTTTATTTCTCCTCGTTCAGTTGGCCAGCGATGATGTGGAGAGCTGCCTGCCCAGGACAGGAGGAAGGGATACGTATTTCCAGTGCTTTCCGAACAAGAACAACACGCGAAGTGTCATAAAACAAAAACATACAAAAACAAGAACAGTTGCAATATGTTGCAATCATGTGTACCAAAGGACTCGAGGACCACCGAACATGGTGGTTCCAATCTGACCTTTGGGTTTATACACTTGTAGCTTGCTAGACGTTGTCACGTGCCTTCCTTCCTATGTTCAGTTGACCCACAACCCGTTCGCCAGCATGTGCCTTCTTTAGCTTGTTCTGCGATTGAAAGCCCCGCAGGTTGTCGACAAAGTTCGATCGCAGCGGCCTAAAGTTCGATCGACGAATAGCCGGTGTAGCATTGCGGTGTGCGTTGCCTGAAATTCTTCTAAATTCCGTAGACTTCCAAGTGGATATTGATGTATATTTTGTGTATGTATGTGTATCCTATAATCCTAAAGGGGACAGCAAAACCACATGAAGTCACGCACCAGAAACAAACATTATCAAATTGTCTTCTGTCAATCTCATGTTGGTCTTTTTCCCAGAAGATCTTCTTGGCGTCTACATCTCCAAAAAGGATCTCCATGGCCAATGAGGATACCCATGGCCCACCCATGGCTGTAACCCCCATGGACCGACCCCATCTCACCCAGTCGAGCTTGGCCATTTAGGCCGAGTTTGGAGCCGGACGCAGCTTGAGCTTTGGGAGCTTTGTTCTTGATCCACTCATGGTTCAATGCCTGCCTAAGTGAGATCTCCAGTGGGTGCAACGGTGTAGGGTGTTGGAATAGCTGGATGTGCGAAATAACATCCATACAACACCAGGCATTGAAAGCAACTTCGGAAATCTGACCATCTGTTACAGTCGAAAGCCAGCCCGATTGACAACGGCCTTGAAGGCCAAAAACCGGACACACAAAGCTATCCAGATTATCCAGAACTCTGGGTTCTGACGATCTTTCAGCTTTGCCAGATCGGTATTGTTCTGCAGTCACATGCAGTCACCCAGATTCATCCGAATCGATCTCCTAGATTGGAAGTATCACTTTCTTCGGTATCGAGTGAAATATGTTTTGTGGTCACCGAAATATATATATATATACCAGGGAATCCAAATGTGCATTTTTTCTTGTTCAAACACGTTCGCACAAAAAATCCGTGCATCTGGCCTTTTTTGTCAAATGGACAAATTTTCTGGAATTCCTCTGAAAATTGGGGTTGATTGGGTTTTATATCAATATAATTGTTTGGGTTTTTGTCGAAAAAACATGTTGATAAAGTTTGGGTTTCATATGGGTACGCTTTTGTACGGTATTGTTTTTCTGTCCATACGGCTAAATACGCTAATTCGTTAATTAAAATGTCCATACGATAAATTCTGTCCAAATACGGCCTTCGCACCAAAAAAAGTGTTCATACGCCTTTCCATATTTAATGTGTTTCCTACTAGCTCGAGCTACTAGAGAACAAGACCACAACCACCGATCTTGGAGGTGGTGGACCTGGATCCCCCCAAAACATGTCGACAGGGGTTCTGCAAGTGAACAACCTCACTTTTCTGACTAGGTTGGAGGCTATTGCTATTGGAGGCCATCGCTCTTAGGTTGGAGGCCATCGCTCTTAGGTTGGAGGCCATCCCTACTAGTAATAAGAAGCTACTAGGAACAAACAACTCAGTGAACTCTTTGCTTACAAATCTATGAAGTGTCCAAAGGAACCAATATCTCTGAGTTGTGTTCTTGGACCTGCGCTGGTTCATAAACCTGGACATCGAGAGAGCACCGTGCTTGTTTTCGTTTGCACGGTTATTTCCACGCGCGTGTGCTGCGAAAAGAAAAAGAGATTGTGATTACAAGAAACGGTTTATCATGGCAGTTTCAACAATGCAAGCGTTTCACAACGTGCAGCAAAACCAAACCGAAGACCAAAGGCCTTCCAACTCCGGGAGCTCGATCCTCGAGGATCGCCACTGAGGTCGCCGCGCCGCGCTATAGCGGTCGCGGGGGTTCATCTTCAACATCCATCGGATGAGGCTTTTGGCATCATCCGACCTCAGCCCCGTCGGGGGCGTGAAGCGAACATGTCCAGGAAACGGGTCAAATGGATTCATCCTGAACGGAGAAGAATGGATGAACATATCTGTTTAGTATATGTGAACGCTTCAATTTATTTACCACCACCTATAGATTGTACACACGACCCAGAACAGCGTTGCCGCCTCGCAAATAGACAAGAAGACGACCTATACAGAACAATTGTGCTGAGAGAAGAGTCCAGCTTTTCTGGTCGGAAAAATCGTCACATGCCGTTTCAAGCGCCTTGAATGGAACGCACAAATTTCACGCTGGAGGTTCAGAACGCTTCTTCTTCTCCGCCGAGGCCACTACAGGCCCCTTCCGAGCTCCGAGCACATTTTTCCAATCGGCGGGATTGAAGTTGAAGTTGCCCAGACGCACCTGGAAGTCGGAGATGAGTGTCAGTACCCCACCGGGGAAAGGGCAAAGCTCCCATCATTCTTACACCCATCTTCTGAAGTCTGGATCTTGAGCAGCGGTCTTTGTTCATTGAGGGTTGTGTGACTCGATTGTTTCTGATATCTATCTGCCAATGACCTAAAGTCATATGACACTTGGGTTCCAGCTGCACATGTCACTCATCAATCAAACTTCCTCGAGACTGGGCTGTCTTGGCACCCAAAAAGATTAGACCCTGTCCTCTGGTCGTCAAGGCTGGGGATCTACGAGCAGCTTCCCGGACGTCTCTGGTGTTGAACAGCACTTCATCAATCGACGTCGACGTCCAGCCTTCAACATTCAACAAATTGGCTTGAGGATCCACTATGTCCCAGTGATACTGTTGATGGACAAAATCCTGCACCACTTTGCGCACACTTTTCTTG